GGAGAAAGTACAATAAGTGTTAATGGTAACATGCAATTCTTTCTGAAAACTCACAGGATCCGATCCATCTTTCTTGTTTTCAGACACAGAATCACACTGGATACTTTAAATCATGCTTTCAAAAATAGTCATAACATCATAGCTTTCTTAGGAAATCCAAAGTGCCTAATACTTTATGCCCACAAAGTAAATACTTCTGTCTCCAATAAATCTGCTTTCACTGAAAATCTAATTTACAATGTTTCTCCTTCAGTTCTGCTTTTCATTGATTTTTATTAAAAAAAAAAAACTTTTTAATCAATACAGATGTTAATTCCTTTTTTATGAGAGATATCTTTCATTAATTCAAAGGTCTATCCTCTCAATAAGAACAATGGTAACATTGACCATTCTTCTATAATCTGAAAATGCCATGACTCTAAGGAATATATGTAATCTATTGCCTGAAACTCCCATTGTAACTGCTAACAGACTACTGAAGAAGTAGCTTAATATTTTAAAAGTTAAAAGCCTACACCACTTGACATGTTAATACCAGAAGCATCAAAGCCTGTTTTCAGATCCAGTTTACATAATTATAATTGTCTGAACAAGAAAAAAAAATACTATACATCAAATAATCTTAAAATTTTTCCCCTTAGTCTACCCTGTTTCCCAAGCTGATGCCACTGGCTTTTCCAACAATAATGCTGATATTGAACCTAATGTATTTTCTGCTGCTGTTGTCTTGGACAAGCGGTTTAGTACTGATTTTCTAGCCATCATAAGAAAAACTTCATCAAGTTTTCTATTTTGCTTTTTTTTTTTTTTTTTTTCACCTAATGAGCATGATGAACAAAATTCCTGTTATAACATAAGACACAATAAAGCTTCTACAGGGCAAGACTACTGAATGTGAATTATGTCCTTTATAGATGCAAATGTAATAGAAATGATAGTTATCTAAATGGAAGCAAAACCTCTATAAAATGTTGAGTCCATATCTTGAGAATAAAAACATTAGTGCTAATGATAACTCAGTCAATAAAAATCCTATCAGTGCCTCTATAATTTAAGCTTTCATTCTCAAGAATTTGTGCCAGCTAGGTCTGTTCCTCATGAAACCAACTCCATGAGAAGATTCATACCTCCTAGTAAAGAATCTTCATTTTACCCATGAGATAGTAGAAGATTCTCAGAAGGAATTTAATATAGCCAATCTTAAAAGAGAAAGTACTGAATTTCATGTACCGGGAAGTAAGAATATCATCCATGAACTCATTGTTGAGAAGGAAAACCTATGACTAGCTTTTAAGAAATCCCTTTTGGGTTACATAGTAATGGGAAGAGGGACTGCCTCTGACATAATCTGATTGGCCTGCTCGTTGATCACTTCCCCCTGAGGGGGGAGCAGCCTTACCAGGCCACAGTAGAGGACAATGCAGCCACTTTTGATGAGAACTGATAGACTAAGATCAGAAAGAAGAGGAGAACCTCCCCTATCAGTGGACTTGGGGAGTGGCATGCATGCAGAAAGGGAAGGGAGGGTAGGATCGGCAGGGGAGGAGGGAGGGGCTTATGGGGGGATACAAAATGAATAAAGTGTAATTAATAAAAAAAAAAGAAATCCCTTTTGTACTGTAAGATAACAAAGACTTTGGAGGAAGACACGTATTAAGAGATTACATTCATCAGTTACAGAGAAAGACAATTACTTCAAATATCTACACTGCTTCAATGTATAAAGAGCTTATACATTTTATACTTTTCTTGTGAACAAAGAAACAGTGATGCCTGAGAACAGCACATCCTTCCTGAGACATGTGCCCAATATTCCAATTACTGAGTGAAAAGAGAACAAAAACATAGTTATTAGCAGACAATACTCCAATTGGGATGGCTTTTCTAGTGTCTCTGAAGATGGGAATTGTTTTCTGAATAAAGAAGACATTGAGCATCCTTTGGCAATTCTATATGCATGATAATTGATTCAGTTAAAATTAGTAACTAAGATGCATGTAATGGTACATGGCCTTTGATCCCATCACTCACTTGGAAGGCAGAGGCAGGTGGGATTTCTGTGAGTTTAATAACAGCCTGGTCTACATAGTGATTTTTAGAACAGCCAGAACTACATAGTGAGAGCCTGCCTTCAGAAAATAAAAAAAACAAAATGAAAAAAATTAGAAACTCATTTTTTTCTTTGCTGAGTCAAAAATGTATAAACTCTTTATAAACAGGAATTCTGTTGTCTAGTTGAGTTTCTGTTTGTCAACCAGCTAATTATTTAAAATGTAAAAACTGTACATGCAATATCTCCTGATAGTTTTCAAGATAATCTTTGCGTAAATGAAGTCTCAAGAATGGCCATCATTATGATGTCCACCTTCCCAAAGTTTCAAAGTGTATCGTACTAAGAAACTATAAATACGCCTTCCTAGGAACTCATTAAGAGTACTCCCATTTTTGCTAACATATTCCATTTTTCACAGAAGAAAAAAATTTAATTATGAACCAAAAGAAGTTACTACTTAGAATACATAAACACTGAGCAAAATACTTCAAAATTCAAGCTAGTAAAAGAAACACATGCACCAAGCAATCTTTGCCAAAGTAAGACTTGATAGAAGATATAACCTGAAAACATTTCAAAGATCAAGTATGGATCAAATATGGATTCCAACTATGACATGGTTGTTATTAATATAAGATAAAATTAATGTATAGTCATTAAGTCTGTCCTTAAGTTAGGTAATATCTGTGATAACAATGATCTATAAAGAGAGAATGCTGTATTACCTGAAAAAAAAAATAGTCAATTTCAAGACTGTCAAAATTCACCAAGTACTCTGTGAACTTTGACGGATAATACACAGGAGAAAGTGCCCTTTCAAAATGAAAGGCTTGGAAGGTATGATTAATGACAATAACACTTACTTTTTAAGAGAAATGAGGGTGTACAATCAGTGTGACTATCTCACAACAACCCTTTTAACAGAATGGTTGGTGTGACTACAAAAACAATCCTGCAAATTAAATGCTATTTGAATTTAGTATCAAAGAAGATGGGCTCTTGGCTTCATCTGGCATAGCTAGCTCATGAAAGAATATTTTCTACAAGCTTCCAATTTTGTTCAACACACAAATATTACATCATATAAGACTATTATCAGTGTTCTCTTCTCTCTTTCTCCCTCTCTCTTGCTTGCTCACTCTCTTGCTTGCTCGCTCACTTTGACTTTGTATATGCAAAAAAAAAAGACAAAAAAAAAAACCCCAAAACGAATATTTTTCTCCAAAAGCGACATGAGGTCTTCTCTGTATACTATACCTTATCCTGAGTTTAGACTCACTCACAAACACTGAATGATTGGTAGATATTAAAAAACTCTTCCCTTAAATGAGCCAATTCAGAGGATGACTTTATTCTGTGTCTTCCTCTAATTGATAATATTTCTATTTAAAAACAAATAACCTGAACTTAAACTATCTTCCGACTTCTTTCTCTGCAACACTGACAACATTCCCTATATCAACAAAGACCCTGGGATGTGGTATGGAATGAGCACCTATAATCCTCTCACTAATGAGGCCAAGGCAGGAAGATCAGAATTCAAGGACAACCCAGGCTATATGGATAGACTCTGTCTCAATCAGTCAACAACAAAAACACAAGAAAAAAAGTAAGAACCACTTTCAAAACCAGCAGTGACAACCTCCTGAAGTACATAAGAATTTCTGGAGAAATTATTCATGTTTTTAAAATGTGTACTGTCAAAACTATTCTTGTGTGTCTATAGAGCCTGGTATCATATCTATGCCATGCCAATTAACTGAGAGGAAGCTGTGAGCGCTGTGTCCATAGTTGATGCAAAAATTATTTTGTCCTTGGATGGAGACAACCATTCAAGCTAATACCCTCGATGTTTTTCACAATTAATGTGTGTCTGAATTTTCCATTTCCTCTGATCCATGGGCCAAGAGACTGGCCTTTAAATGTTGACATTGAATTTCTTTCCCCTTAATCTAATACACTAAACCTTAAAGTCAGTTGTGCCATGATTGCCTGCTATAAGAACATTTGAAAATTTCATCTGAATTGGATATCTTCTAGGAGAGCTACTGTTACTCCAACTCTTGATTCTTGCTTTGTGAAATTAGGCGCATAAGAGCAACTTCCAAGCACAAAGTCTTCTGATGTAGGAACAATAACTTGCAAGTGGTAAGAATATATAAAAAGCCAAACCTACAAAACTTGACACACTGTTTCTCAAATTAACACAAAAAGCCTTACCAGTCTACTAAGTTAATATTATTGTTATCATCATCATTATTACTTAAAAAATAATTTTTCCTCTCAAAAGAAAAGAACTGATTAGTCTCTGCTACATAGTTATCTTCTTTATTTTTATTTACTACCAAAGCACTTTAAAATTTAGGTATTTAAGCACTGTGAATCTCAGAGAAGAGCATTAAACACACCATCACTTACTTGATAATAAAATAGTTTATTTAATAAATAAACTTATTTATTTATTAAATAATAATAAATAATAAATCAATTTGATAGTTTATAATAATAAAATAGTTTATTTCAAAAAGATGCCGATAGCTTTCAATCATCCAGAGTTCCCGTCGCTGACCACACTAAACCACAAAGTACCAAGCTTGAGTATGTCTGTGTCAAAGGGCATGAGCTCCATGTCGGAAGGCATGTATTTGTAAGCAGAGATATGGTAAATCCCAGGTTTTCTAAAACTAAAATAGTTAGCATGGATTTTTATTTTATGATCAGAGCCCTACACCCTTTCTTCTAACGTTAATATTCATTCTAATACATGTCCAATGACAGCCAAGAGACAGCCCCCAAGCTGAGCCCTTGTCATTACCTGGGTGATTGATGTAACAATCCCCATGATGACCAGCGCTTTAGTCACTGTACTGATCACTGCTCACCAACCCAGGGATGCCACTAAGCCCAGAGGGAAGACCTGTGAGAGCGCTCAGTGTCCCTGTGCCCCATGGCTGATGATGGATCACCGAAAATTTATTCTCATCCCCCAAGAGAGAGCACTAAGACGCCAACAGAAGCAGACATTTTCTTTGGGGCTGACACTACCATTCCTAAATCAGAAACAACTATTACTTCTGAGGGAGACCACATCACTTCCGTGAATGACTGTACACCAGATGGTGATTTCTCAGCTACAGCCAACAAGCTCACACCTACAAAGGAAAAATTCAAATTAGAAGATGATATTGAGGCCAGTCTGAAGTCAACCACTCTTCCAGAGAAAGAAATGACTCCTCCAACTGAAACTACAAACTCCAAACCTAAGGAGTTGATTACTGAAAATTTCATGCCAGTGAAAACTGGAAACATCTCATCCCCAGTTGGTACTGTTTCTTTACTAGATTTTTCCAGTAACATGACAAAAGAAGACATCTATTCACCTACCATTGACACAGGAGACAAAGAAGTCCTATCCACTACTGAGCTCTCTGGCACATTAGAGGAAAGCGCTGTCGATGCAGAGGACACCTCTGCACTTCCAGATGAAAACACCAAAACTGAGGTTAGTTCCTCAATCAGTTCTTTCTTACCTGACAATGGAGCTGCCCAGGACACTGACTCCTTTAGCCCTGAGTCTGAAATCTCTCCCCCTACTGAGAAAGAGGTCACCACCATCCCAGATATAACCAAAGTTGCAGAAGAGAACGTAACTGAAATTGACTTGATTGTTTCAGAAGATAGCCCCAAAGCTGTGACTAAATTAAGTGACTCAGAAGAGGAAAAATTTATCACTGTGTTTGAACTTACTAACTCTGCTGAAAAAGCCAAAGATATCCCAGAAGATACTTTAACTGATGAGGAATCAGCTGATGGAGTTGATACTTGGGTGGAGAAAGAGAATACAAATGAGGCAGAGTCCCATTCTGTTTTGCTTACTGCTGTTGAATCCAGATATGACTTCATTGTACCTGCCTTAGAAACCGATAGTGTCTTGCAGGAGCCAGATGATAAAACAGAAGGAGAGTTGCCTGAAAATGATACAACAGACTTAGTAAAGGAGATCACAGAGGAGTTTCCTTCAGCGACCTCTGTTGTAGATACCCCTAAACTCAAGGAGGATCTTTCTACCACTGACTCCGGCATCTTCAAACTGCTAAAAGAAGATCCCGATGAACTTATGATGTAAAACCAGCCACCTAGAACAGCACGATGGATTAAAAAATAGTCTTAATGTCTAAGAAGCCATTCAACAAGAAAAATCTTTAAAAGAAAAAACAGAAAAAAGAATGTGGGGATTTAAGGCAAGTATTAGATGTAGAGAATACAGATGCTCATAGACAGAGGTCACGCAGCAAAATATATTCACTGGTAATTTTAAAACCAACAATCTCATTGCTTCCTAGATATCACAGTTTTGGTTATGTAACGACTCACTGAAAAGTTTCCATACTAAATTTTAGGGCAATGAATACAGCAAGCGGTAAAGGAGCCCATTTCTTGCAACATTTAATGATATGTTAATCCCAAATATAATTTACTGAAATTAAGGACATAAAGAGAATCAAGTAACATCTAAAAATTTCTGAAGCCTTAAAAAGTTTTCTGAAACTCTTATTCTAAACATTTTCTTCTTAATATCACAAATGTGATTCTCTTCAGTCATAATAGATATACATAATATATATTTGAAACCCTCATGAACAATTAAAGCTTCCTTGCAATTATTTAACATCCATGTGCAATATAAGAAATCAGACAAACTTCTTGTCTCATATTTGATGCTATCTAAAACAAAATTTTAGTTTTATATATGTATTCAGTTGAAAAATAATACATAAATATGAACTCATATAATGTTCTTCCTGTTAAGATTTATATCCTGAATTTTCTGTCATTTCTTTCAGATCTTAAACGTTGAATATTGTACTCTTCTTAGGCTGTTGGATAGCAATTCAAGGATTCATATCTCCATTCTTTTCTGATAGACTTTTCAAGTGTTTCTGTTGTCACTGTGCTGATTCTCCTCAATAAATCATTCTGGCAGCAACTGATTTACTGTGTATGTGATATATTTGATATTCTGGTACAGAAAGTCATACAAGAAAAATTAAGATTTGTTGCTTAAACAAAAATAGAAATAGATCTTTTATAAAAAAATCCATAATTTTCCTGATAAGCTAGGGTCAGATCAAAGGGGAGGAAGTACTCCCCTATCAGTGGACTTGGAAAGCAGTAGGGAGAAGATGAGGGAGGGAAGGTGGGATTGGGAGGGAATGAAGGAGCAGGATACAGCTAGGATACAAAGTTATTAAACTGTAACTAATATTAAAAAAATAAAAATTTAATTAAAAAAAAGCCATAATTTCACTTTACTAAAAGTAAAGAAATTAAAACAAGCCAAAATACTGTGTAAATAGCAAATATCATACCTGAGAGGGGGCATTTAAATAAACTTTGGCCTGGGATAAATAATACTGTGTTTAAACTAAAAAAAAAAAAAAACACATTAAAATACAAACATTTAATATAAGACAAAGAGTACTTGAGGTTATGGCTGTCATGATTACTTTCTCTCAAACAATCATGTACCTGGGGAAAAAAATAAATTGGAATACTGCTTAAAATACATTCTAAAACTTGAAAAAAAAATGTATTTCCCCAAATGAGGTCATAAATCCAAATAAGTATAAAACAACAAAATATAAAACGAAAGATTAACATATTTGACACAATGAATAGTCAAAAGTATATACGAAAATAATTAAGATATAATCCCAAACAAATAAGAAAATTGAAGAAAATTGCTTTATATTTGGCAACAAAAAAGAGTGTTATCCTTGTTGTGTAAGTAGTTCCCAAAGAGAAACACCCAGGAAGTCTCACCAACGTGACTGCCAAAGCATGAACTGCAACAAGAATCACAGCAGGAGACATTTCTGAGTGGACAGGAAAAGTCCACCACGAGGCCTCAACCCTACACAAAGAACTACAGGCAACTAAATGCTGAAAGGGGGAGAAATGATCTTCCCCATGGAAGCGCACACCAGTTGGTTGTGCCATACCAAATGGTTACCCCTGTTAACACACAATTATACACACGGAGCTGGTTATATTTAGGAATATATATGTATGTACCTATACACGTAGGTCTGTAACAATGAAAAAGAGCACATGAATTTGAATGAGAGCAAAAAGAAAAAAAAAGTATGTAGGAGGGTTTGACAGAAGAAAGGGCAGGGTGAATTATTTTCAAAAATAAGAAAAATGCAGGCCCTCCTCCTATCCTGGCAACACATTACAGCTAGCACTAGTGGAAGGGTGCCAGGAGATCTGCCCCAGGGCAAGAGTGTGGCCTCACCACCCCTCTGTGGTGAGGTGGGGGGCTGTGGGGAGTTAACACACTTCCATCACCTCCAGTAGTCAAAGAGCTGGCTCTGCATCTCTCCTGAGCAACACAGTGAATCTGGCCATGATGGTGAAGGCACAGGTGCGCCAACCCTGAGGGTCTGAGAGCAGTAGAGCTGGCCTAACCCCTAACAGACAGCAGCACATGAAAGAATGGCCCTGGCAGCTTGACTGGACAGCACAGTGGAGCTAGCTCTAGAGGCATGGGTGTTGGTGGGCTGGTCGTGGGGGCAGGAAAGGAGGAGAGCTGACCCTGCCTGTTGTTCATGGCAGCACTGGGTGACCTAGCTTCAGCAGTACTGGAGAGCTTGTTCTGATGGTGTGGATAAGGGAGAGTTGGCTCACTGACCAGCTTGGCTACTGCCCAGGCCCAAATCCAGGGCTCTGAGTTGGTGCACCTCAAAATCTATAGCATCTGTAAACGGTTGGGAGGAAACCGTATGAAAGGGCCAGTCCTGCTGATCCAAAGCTGCAGGAACTCCATGTCACAGGGCAACGACAGGATAACCGGGGAGGAGTCCTGGTGAGGATCCAATATTGATGATGTCACAGAAGCCAGAGGTCTCAAATCAGACCAGTGACACACTGCAATGAACATTTGCCGTGAAGATGTGTAGACAGAGGGGTATACTGTGGACTACACTGGGATGTACTACAGCTTCCACAGTGAGATGTTTTCTGGGCTGGTTTTTGGTGTGTGTGTGTGTGTGTGTGTGTGTGTTATTTTCGGGGTGTTGCAAGGGTGAAGGGCAGATATGAGGGAACAAGAAGATGAGCGGCGGAGCGGGACTGGGGTGAAACTCACAGAGAATTAACAAAATGTTTTAAAAACTGAAAAAAAAAATGTTATTGTTTACTATGTTTAACCATTTGACAACTGACCATTTTAAGGCGTGTGAAGTACCTGCTGCGCAGGTATGAAGATATGCGTTCAGATTTCTAGCACTCATGTAAAAAGCCAATAATGTTTGTATCCCCAGGACTAGGGCAGGGGAGAGAGGGCATGCACAGGCAGATGTCTGGATAGCCACTTAACCGACAGGTAAGCTCCAGATTCCCTGAGAGGCCCTGTCTAAGAGAAATGGTAGAGAGGACCTGAGGAAGAGAGCCAATGTCTATATCTGGCCCCCACCCACATATGAACACACACATGTGCACACACATGAACTAGTTCATACTCACAAACACACACCACACAAAATAGCAAGGCTTGCTCTAACTGCCTTATATATTTTCACTGCTGAAATTTTAATTTTAAGTCAGATGTTGACAGATGGGACAATTATAGAGCTTTTATTACAGGCCAGGCATGACTTTTAAATCACTTTTGGTCTTCATGATGACACTGATAAGGAAGTTACTACTTCAAAGAAAAGTTTCCCCTCACCCTGAAACTTTATTGGAAGTCTTTAAGATGTATGGTCTTAACACTTCTCAGGAAGATAAAGCAACAGGTGAGCCAGGGAGAGAGAAACAAATTGGGGATTAAAGAATGAAAGAGAGCAGGGCATGGTAGAACATGCCTCTAATTCCAGCACTCAGGAGGCAGAGGCAGGTGGATCTCTGAGTTCGAGGACAGCCTGGTTCACTGCACAGAGAAACCCAGTCTCAAAAAAACAAAAAAGAAAACAAAGAATGAAACAGAGATTTGATTCCAAACTGTATGAAACAGGAGAGTATGGCATATCTATTGAGCGTTCACACTTCACAAGACACCTTTGAACAACTGCAATTGGCCATTGGTCTAAGGAAACCATGGTAGTAACTGCCAAAGCCTAGCTCTGCAGACGTGGTATGACACCAAAGCCCATGTTTAGTCTTATGAACCATTTGAGCAATGACTAATCTCACCAGCTAAGCAGGCACAACTGTCATCCTCTATTTACACTGCCAATCCCCTGTTTAAGTTTTCTTGTAACTCAGTCTCAGTTGGTCTTGCATTCTAGCAATTAATTATGCCCCTAAGCGCTCATCTCTAAAGTCCATGATTCCCCTCTGTCATAATGAGAGCATCCGAACTCAGTATGAGACATGGTCCTTACAATGTCTTCCTCTGCCTACAACCCACTTGGTCTTCTGAATTCCAAGCCTCACTCCATAGAAAGTAAATTCCATGATAGCAAAGACCCAAACCTAGGTACCTAGCACATAGTACATACCTAAGAGTGTTGGGAACCTTGCAAGGGGAATAGCAAAGCAGCTCTAGAACTCTTAGAAAGCGGCCTACTGGTTAGCAGACCCCTCGAGGGGTGTGTCTTGGAAAGGCATAACCCTGAAGACTATGTGTCTTGAGGACATCATGCTGCTATGGAGCACAGCTCTGCTTGTTGCCCTCAGGGTCATCACATCCCTCATAATACATGAGTTCTATGAGAACCCTAAGGGGCTCCCAGGCCCTCACCGGGCAGTATCACTGGCAATCACAATAACAATGCTTGATCCCATTCAGGTATCGCTGCTAGAGCAGATTAATGGTTTAACCACCACCCTTGAAAAAGAGCCCTCAGATGTAGATTGCTAGCAGTGACCACTATTCTTATCAAGAATTTGGAAAAATAGGTTGTTTTTTGAGGTTAGGTAAAGATATTTTTGCCAGTGGCTCTGATGTAGAAAAATCTTTTTTTTTTAATTTTATTTTTCTTTTTAGTTACATTTTGTTAACTCTATGTCCCAGCTGTATCCCGCTCCCTCATTCCCTCCCCAACCCCACACTCCCTCCCTGGTCTCCTCCCTGCCCCTTTCCAAGTCCACTGATAGGGGAGGACCTCCTCCCCTTTCATC